ATATTAAGAAAAAGGTAAATAAAAAGAGATTATTAAGAAAAAGGTCAAATAACTAGATCGAGTCAAAACAAAGCTAAAGTAGATAAAGCAACCAATGATCTAAATAAAATGTTATATGAAGAAAAAAACACACAAACGCAGAATTATCTTAGATTACTGATTCCTACAGAAGCAACAAATAGTGATAAGAATATTATGGAGCTACCAAATGACTTAATAGACTAATTACATTTATAGCGCCTATTAGAAAACCTGGTGGTAACTGAACAAGATCGGACGGAACAAAAATTGAAACATTCGTAAATCATCTTAGTACAGTATTCAAGCCCAATAATATTAAATAGAAAACTTATTCCTGACTATCAATCCGGTTCTCGGTGTATCAATTCCACGATTGAGCAAATAAATAGAATAGTATCTGTTGCGAGGAAAGCCATCGAAGGAAAGCCATCGAAGATAAACAATACTGCACAGATATATTTCTAGATATTGCCCAGGCTTTTGACAAAGTTTGGCATAAAGGGCTATTGCACAATCTCAAGGAATTTTTTTCTTAGCCGCACTACGAATGGTTATAGTCTTATCTACACAATAGAGCCTATCAAGTTAAAATAAATAAAAACGTATCAAAAAGTTAGTTAATAAAAGCAGGAGTACCATAGGATAGTGTTCCAAGTTCAACACTATATCTGTTATATACCTCGGATCTACCAAAATCTATTAATATCTTGATAGCAAAATATGCAGATGATATAGCAATTTTAATAGTAAATCTAGAGGTAACAAGAGCAACCAAAACATTAAAAAACTACATAAAATATCATAATCAAAATTAGCTTAACTCCTGGAGAATAATAGTAAATGAAAGCAAATCGACATTATACACATATGACACTTCGAAGAGATACCTGTCTTCCTATCAGATTAAACGAGAAATGTATTTCACAAAGCAATCGAGTAAAATATCTAGGTATTCACCTAGACCGAATACTTACATGGAAAGAACATATATTCATTAAACGTAACCGGTTGGGTCTAAAATGGAGGAAAATGTACTAGCTCAATGGAACAAAATCGGAGCTGTCAATTGAAAGTAAACTACTGCTATATAAATCTGTACTTAAAACAGTCTAGATATACGGCACTCAACTATGGGGTGAAAAACTATAGTGCTGCTTCTAACTCGAATATCGAAATCCTGAAAAAATTTCAAACAGAAGTCCTACGCAATATAACCGAATGAAATTATCCGAATAAAAATAAAGTACAGATAACTACAGTCAAAGAAGAAATTCAAAAATTTTATGCAAAATATAATTCGAGACTTCAAAACCACCTAAACAAACTTGTCAACTAATTTCTCAAGACATTCATTGTTAACACCAGACTAAAAAACATAAATTAATGAATGCGCAAATAAATTAAGATTATTTCAGTCATACTGTAAAACAAAGACAGTATACTTATTGGAGTAAACTGCTGTTTATTATATAGATATATGTCTAACAGCAACAATATTTGTATTTGTTATAATATTAATATAAGCAAGAAATCTTGTTATCGTGCGGAGAGCTGCGCCAAATTAGTGATTTATTGCTGTTGGTCCTGCTGAATTTTCCAGTTAGCCATCAGAGAGCATCAACTGTCTGCCTGCAAGCTACTTCAACACCGATAATCAAGTCACCGCTTCTTTTCTCTCTCTCTCTCTCTCTCTCTCTCTCGCAATCATTTTTCCTTTCTTTCTGGCATCCGCGACTTGCGTGCTGTGTCAGGCTTTCACGGGCCGACACAGATAGTTTATAATTATCTTTGTTAATGAGTCGGTAAATAGGATGGCAAGGCGCTCACGTGCCGGTCATCCTATTTAATAATAGTGTTAATTAGATTAAGATGTGTGTGTGTGTGTGTGTGTGATTTTCGCCGGTACTTAAGGTAGTGCCTTTGTAATAAAGTGTGTTATTTAGAACTTCGTAAAGTTATTGTGTTCACCTTTCCTTTTATGCTTTGCTGAGATCGATACACTGCCTCCCTTGCCTTCCCTCTCTAAACAATTGGTAATAATATTAAAATTGTCGGCTATCAGCGACTGACGCTATTACACATCTCATGTGTACCATGTGCTCTTTCATTTAATAAACATTAACGGTTACATTTTTTCTTCTAATACCCTCATTAAGTTACGGCACATTTGGGAAATACCCAATACTTTTACCAAAGCCGCATCACGACACGTGTAATAAATAAAACGATCTTAATGCTACCCATGCATATTACACTCTTGAATTTGGGACCGTGGACTACACTTGGTGACCAAGACAAAGGCCGTTATAGCTTCGTGGATTATTGTCGTTATTCGCCCTGTATGCGACAACTAATATTCCGAGACCACAGTTCTAAGCATCAGCAGTTCAGTAACATTTACCTGTTCTTAATTATAGGCAATCGATTGCATTTCGCGCTTTCATTCATTGTATTCGTATAAGCCGATGACACAGTGAAAAAGATATTTTTTTTTGCTTGATGGGACCGCTTTTCCTTCAGTACGACATTTAATCGATCTAATAATCAGATATAATATTCATCAGTTTTTCCATCTATTATCTACAAATTAATATCATACCTGTTTACGTCGTAAAAAATAGGAGCCATGACTTTTCTGACTGATCGTATCGTCTTTATACTTTTCGCCAGGCTCGGTCCACGTTTTCTACTGATTTTTCGTTTCTAGTATACATCTAGCATACATCTTTCTTATGCACAAACATTTATTTAAAATTTTCCATGTACGAGGGTCGTTTGAAAAGTCCGTGCAAAGTCAGAGAGATGGCGCTACTAGTGCGTATCAAAGTTATTTTCAGTTAGTGGCATATCTTGGAAGAGCACACACCAAGTTTCAGCCAGATTGGCCAATTACTTTGTGTTTTACATTCGTTTCAATCAAAGAAATCGAATGGTTGTAAAAAAGTGGACGAAAACGAATTTCATGTATTGATTAAACATTACTTTTTCAAAGGCAAAACGCCTCAGGAGATTAAACAGAAGCTTGATAAACATTATGGTGATTGTGCACCTTCGATTAGAATGGTTTATAAGTGGTTTCAAAATTTTCAGAGTGGCCATATGAGCACAAAAGACGCTGAACGTTCTGGACGCCCTGTTGAGGTTACCAGTTCAGAAATCATTGATAAAATCCATAATATGGTGATGGCTGACAGAAGAGTGAAGGTGCGTGAGATTGCTAGTACTGTAGGCATCTTGAGCGAATGGGTACATAATATTTTGCACCAACATTTGGACATGAAAAAACTATCCGCTAGATGGGTGCCGCGATTGCTCACGATTGACCAAAAACGAGATCGTGTGAAGTGTTGCAAGAATGGTTTGCAACTGTTCCAGCAAAATCCGCAAGACTTTAAGCGTCGTTTCATCACTGTAGATGAAACATGGATACATCACTACACTCCTGAGACCAAAGAATAGTCTAAACAATGGGTTACCAAGGGGAAATCTGCTCCGAAAAAGGCAAAGACAATTCCTTCGGCCGGGAAGGTTATAGCGACTGTTTTTTGGGATTCGCAAGGAATAATCTAAAATAATAATAATAATAAAAATGGGTAAAACTATTACAGGCGAATATTATTCATCGTTATTGGATCGTTTGAAAACCGAGTTGCTAGAGAAACGTCCACGATTGGCCCACAAAAAAGTCCTCTTCCACCACGACAATGCGCCAGCTCACGCCTCAGCAGTTGTGGCCGCAAAACTGATGGAGATAGGGTTCCAACTCGTTTCACATCCTCCCTATTCTCCAGACTTGGCTCTGTCGGACTACTATTTGTTCCCTAATATGAAAAAATGGCTGGCGGGGAAAAGATTTTAGTCAAACGAGGAGGTGATTGCAGAAACGAATGCCTATTTTACAGACTTGGACAAATCCTATTATTTGGAAGGGATTAATAAACTAGAGTAGCGTTGGATGATGTGTATAAGCCTAAAAGGAGACTATGTTGAAAAAAAAAAAGATTTATTAAAAAAAACCAAGCAGTTTTTATTTTTGTACAGACTTTTCAAACGAACCTCGTATATATTACTAAAATTTTTAGAGCTTCAATAATTTCACGCAATTTCAAACAACAATTGAAAAATTATAAATTTTATGGATCATTATCTGAGTAGTCAATTTTTTGAATGCTGAGGATTACTTCTGCTCTTATGGTCGCAATAAAATTCAGTAAAACAAATATATACCATGCAATGCCATGAAGCAAAATCTCCATAAATTTTCTAACATTTTCAGTAATTTCTTTGATTGAGATTTCTCGTAGAAAATAATGTTTAACAAGTTGCCGAATCTCGCTTTTCTCCATCATTTTGTATATGCAATGAACAACTAAATTCAAATAGCTATAAAAATTTTTCAAACCAACGTGCTTACTAAAAACTTTGTAAACACACTCATACAAGATAAAACTTTGTTTGAGAATAAAATACATTACAATAACCGCGCTATCTTCAGAGAAATTACGAAATGATTGAATGACCTTCGTATAATGTTAACTTTATGCATTAATCAAATGTATACTGCAAATCATTAACGAGACACTCATTAATATATTTACTTTTATTGAACTTTATATAATTAGTGCTGATCGTTAATTAGTATGCGTGGAGTCAATATTAAAGATTAATAAAAAATTTAAAATAATGTATAAACTCGTAATGACGAAATCGATCAAATATTTCATTACTTGTATGTAGTTCTATGTAGTTCTATAAAGTTCATATAATTACAAAAATAACATAAAAGCAACACATTCGTAATAACATGAGTGGCGATAGGACACATATCCCTCGATTTTTCGTAAAAAAATTATAGAAGTACATATTGGTATACAAAGAATAGGGAATAATAATATTGCCGAGGATGTTAATGATACAATATGAAAATAAAGTTTGCGAAATAGGAAAATTGTAACATATTTGTAAATAAATTCTTTTACCTGTAATCTATAATTTGAATCCTGTGTTGCTGCATGTGCTGCTAAAAATGGATCATAGTAGACACTGAAATCAGATTTTAAATTGGTCAGTATTTAATTCTTAAAATTATTAGAAAATTTTTAAATATAACGAAATTTATTATGTACATCATACTGTATCGGGGTGTAAATTCCATTTTATTTCTTTGTCTCACCCGATGCGCAGTCATATTGGAATGCGCGCGGCGAGATCGAAACAATCATATTCTGTTAACTAACCGAAGATCAGGAGAGGACGGGTGCCAATCAACGAACTTATTACTAGCAAAGATAACAATAAATTAACGTTTCAATCAAACGTGAGCTAGTTTATTTTCTATGTAATCTATAATACGCTAGGCCCGCGCATTTAGCTTATGCGGCGCGTGCGACAATCTTACTCACCAGCATTTCATTTAGTCTCTCGTTCGCGATATTCGTTTGCATGCTCGCTATCGATTTTCTCATAATCGCCGATGTGAGGGGACAGTAATCAAGCGCGATTGTTTAACAAAAATCACGACGCGAAGCTGGCCAGCTTACCTTGCGTGAACAATCACACTATCAGGGGGAGCAGATCAGTATCGCCTCTGGTAGCTCAGGTTGCCGTCTCTCATAATTGGAAAAGAGATCTTCTCTTGCTGATGCTATCGGGTAGATGGATTCCACGACCTCGTGGTTGGCCTACGATGGCGATTTTGCCGAACACTCGGGAAAACAACAATAGCCACACTTATTATTATCGGCGGACTAACTCACACACTCTCTTCTACGCACGTTGCTGATTTTAACTCGTTGATCCTACGATGGCATTCCTCGACTAGTTCTTCTACCTTCGCGCGCATTCCATCCCATATCGGACCGAGTTCCCGTTTTCCGCTTTCCCCGGCCGGTAGGTGCTGTCCTCGTAGGCAGCCGCGTGATCGAGATAGTAGCGCAAACAAGACGTTTACCGTCACAATACATACAATTATAAATATAAAAAATCAATAAACTACGTAATTAAAAAAAAAGTAACTTGTAGGACTTTATTAAAAAATCAAGTTTCTCTTCAATTTAAAATAAATCTCAAGAAATTCTTCTAGTGCAGTTAAAAGATCATCAATAAAATACATACAAAAGTTAAATCAAATATCCTGTATATTACTATAAGAAATGTACAGCTTTAGATGAACCAGACGATAGCCTCTTACTGAAATTGTTAGTGTTGGAGAAAGAGACAGATAATTAATTATGTTATTATTATTATTAATAATGACCACACAATAGAAGATATAGATACCGGCAGCACTTTACAGTTATTTCATTACGCAATGAGTTGCGTAATCTTCCCGAACATCTGTACCAAGTTTCAAGTGTATAGCATTTTTTGTTTGGTTGTGAGAGGCGTAAAGGATATAAATGTTTTACGTGCTCGGCGATTTCTTGCTATCGAAAAATATGGATCAAAGGATTTGCATCAAATTTTGTGTAAAAAATAAAATAAAGTGCTCCGAAACACTTGAAATGTTGACGGTGGCATACGGTGAAACTGTTCTGAGTAAAAAAAATGTTTACAAGTGGTACAAACTCTTCCAAGATGGCCGGGAAGATGCCAATGACGAGCCTCGCTCTGGACGCCCAAGCACGTCAACAACTGATGAAAACGTTAAAGCAGTGAAGAATATTGTTCTGGAAAATCGTCCAATCACGATCAGAGAAGTTGCTGAGGATGTTGGTTTATTGCTTGGCTCGTGACATGAAATTTTTTCTAACGTTTTGGGCATGAGACGTGTGTCAGCGAAGTTTGTCCCAAAATTGCTAAATTTTGACCAAAAGAACCGTCGCATGAGCATCGCTCAAGAACTATTGAATGACGTCAACGACGATCCAGATTTACTCAAAAGGGTCATAACTGGTGACGAATCATGGGTATGTGGTTATGATATCGAAACCAAAGTCCAATCGTCCCAATGGGAGAGCCCAGATGAGCCAAGACCGAAAAAAGCACGCCAAGATCGATCAAATGTCAAAGTTTTGCTCACTGTTTTCTTCGATTACTATGGCGTGGTTCATCAGGAGTTTTTACCATATGGACGTACGGTCAATAAACAGTATTATCTTGAAGTTATGCGCCGTTTGCGAGAAGCGATATGAAGAAAACGCCCAGAATTGTGGAAAAACAATTCATGGCTTTTGCATCACGATAATGCCCCTGCTCACTTATCTTTGCTTGTGAGAGATTTTTTGGCCAAAAATAACACCACAATCATGCCTCAGCCACCATATTTATCGGATTTGGCCCCATGTGACTTTTTCTTGTTCCCAAAACTAAAGAGACCTATGAAAGGACGGAGATTTGCAACGATTGAAGAGATAAAGACTGCATCGCTGGAAGAGCTCAAGGCTATACCGAAAAGTGCTTATGAGAAGTGCCTTGAGGATTGGAAAAACCGTTGGCATAAGTGTATTGTATCTGAGGGGGATTACTTTGAAGGGGACAACATAAATATTGATAAATAAATATATTTTCTTAAAAATACAAAGTCACCTTACTTTTTGAACACACCTCGTAAACTAGAGGGGCCACAGATCACGCGTTATTGTGTGTGTGTGTGTGTGTTTGAATGCATATATTCATATATATTGTTTTGATATATATTATTTTCATATATATATCGAGCGAGCGAGAACGTGAAAGACAATAGAGATTTCGAAAATTTTTTCGAATCCGTTTAATTAATAATAAATTAATTAATTTATTATTAATTTATTATTAATTTATTATTGTTGTATAACAATATATATAATTTATTATTATATCTTTAAGCCAGTTTTTTATGTCCTTCTGACTTTGGTATAGATTTGGTGTTGGTTGAATAATTTTCAGTATAAGATTTCCATTGCAAAGATAGTTTCATTTTCTTATCATTTGCATTGTAACTTTTAGTAATTTCGGGAAGACACGTATAAGGTACACTATTTTTCTGCCCCATTCTGATGAAAAAATGATTACAACAAGCCAAGAACGTTATATTAATAGTTTAATCTTTAAACCAGCGATAATTTTTTAAATACTTGTAGTGTCATTAAATTCTAATAATGGACAAAAGCGTTTATTAAGAATCTGTTGCCTTATATAGTCGATTATCTTGAATGGATAAAAAATTAGGGAAGTGGGAGGAGGGAAGAGGACAGGTGGGGATAATTTTCATCTAGTTCATCTGCTTCTCATGGTATAAAAATGGACTGAAACTCAGTGACAGTCGCATTTGACTATTCGCATCCAGCGTGTTAGTATTGAAAAAGAAGTGTTAAGAGCTTTCTGTAACACGTTTTCGTGTGAAAAAGTGATATTCTGTAACGATTATGAGCGAGAAGGTGATACAGGTAACTATTTTTATTCGAACAACTACGAACAATTGCGCGAAAATTTTTTTGGGCCTCTTTTAGTGCTACATATGCCCGTACCTGGCGCAGCGCTGTGATTGGCTACCGCCAGCGTGCAGTGCCTTGGGTTCGACTGTATACAATTAGAAGTGTTTTAAATCTACTTAATGTTTATAAAATTAAACTTGTACCGCAGCCCATTATTACGCAACTTAATGCTGTAATATCGCGTGAAGAAGCTAGGGCCTCGGAATCACCATCATCATCATCATCATCATCATCATCATAATCATCATCATTATCATCGGTACACGAACCTTTGAGTGTAGTTGATACTGGTGTGGAAGCATCCAATGCTCCACGTACAACGATAAATGTAGCCCAAGATGCAACAGTTTGATGGAGTGACATTAACAGTGCTTTCAAAGATAGAATCAAGACTGGTATAATTACCAATCTGAAACATTTAGATTTGGATACGTTTTTGAAAGATGCCAAACAACTGTTTCATGCTAAAATCAATGAAGCTTTGAAACGATATAATTGTATAAAAGTGAATATTGTATTAGATGCTGAGTATGCAATTACGAAGAATGACGAGGAAACACTCGATGTAAAGCTTTTTAATATTAAGATGATGCCGACATACATAACTACGAATATAAACGAATGGTATATTGAGAAAGTACTCGAGCCTATCAGCACTAGAATGGAAAATTTCCAAGAGCAAGTTTCAGGGTGGTCTCTTTGCATTATACTAAATTGAACTGTCAATATCAGTAAATACAATCCTATGAGGGCTGGTTCTTACATTAAATTGCCAGAACCTATCAGAAAAAGGAGGGACTGTCTAAATGTGCAAAACTATGATGATGATGTGTTTCAAATGGGCTATCCTCTCAGCATACATCCGGGTGCAATGAATCCAAATCGTGTCAGCGCATATACTATGCATCAGCATTAGTATAATTTTAGAAATCTTACATTTCCCGTGGATCCGAGGCAAGTCGTTAAATTTGAAAAAGAAAATGATGTTTCAATAAATGTGTATTTTCTAAATTTGAAAAATGACATCTACGAAGTTTTACCTTGACATTTGACTGCTGAGAAGAAGTAAAAGCACCTGAACATTCTTCTAATGGAGAATTATTACGTTGATGTAAAGAGAATAAAAATCAAATACAACGTCCTTATATGCCTTATAAAGTACATTATGTATGGATAGAGGACTTATCTCGACTGATGTAAGTTAGTCGAGATATAAGTCTAGGAGATGTAAGTCATATATTTGTGATCGTTATCTGCACTAATTCCGAACTGAAGACAAATTGAAAATACACGATATTGATTGTAAAAATGTGAATATGTGTACAAAAATTGTGCTTCATGATGAGAAAGATAAATTTTTACAATTTGACAATTTGAAAAATGAGTGTCCCGTGCCGTACTTTATGAATGCCGCTTTCGAGAGTTTCTTGAAACCGGTATCTAATTATGAACGCGTCTATCAGCATCATAAATAGTATAGTGTTGGTTTTTTCGTGATGTGTAGCTATGATAACTCTAACTCACATTACCGAAGGTACAGACAGAAAACTATCGATAACATTAGTCCAGCCAAATGGTTCGTACATAATCTCTATGACTTAGCTATGTACCTGCACAATTTATACAAAA